CTGTTTTTCTCCAAAAACGCAGCAGCTGCGGCAATTAAGAAATGGATTTTCAGATTCGGCATAAAATTCTGATTCAGAAACGACCCTCAAACCTTTTGGCCTCAGACACATGATTATAAGTGCCTGGGCTCTTGGACTACAAGTACAATCACATCTAGCGGCGTCACGCGCCGAAATGATCATCAAACAACATAAACATGCTAAACTTGTCGCACTAAACGTTGGGGACGCTGTTATGTTAAGAGAACCTGAAAGGAACTCCAAACTTTAGCAAAATTTTCTGGTCTATTCTGCATAATCTCAAAAGAAGCAGGCAACAAATTCAAAATTTGGAAGCCTAATGCACAGAACGCAGATGTCGTGCACGCGGATCGTCTGAAGAAGACCCAGATAAATGTATTACCTCCAGTTGATGATGATGTGATTGATACATCCTTACAGATTGTCCAGAAGCAGAGTGTCCCAAGTGACTATTGAATGAAACTACGTTCTGCAAGCAGACGTTAAATCGTTTGTAATTCCTTACAGAATGGCTTGGATCTTCAGTGTGTTGCTTCTACTCTGTTGTTGCACCGTTGTGTTGACAGACATGTCCACATCAGTCCTCAAACCAGGTGCACTTGTGGCACCTCTCGGACGCGTTCTCATAGTTGAGGACGTGGTGAACATCAAGTATGAACTACAGCCACTACTCCAACTTCCGCGTCAGATGGAAAACGTCGACGGCCAACTACAATCAGCATTGGACATCCTTCATGGTCTCAGCACAGCTTCGAAGAATTCGACAATAGTTTCACAAACTATAGACCTTCTACACTTTCGTCTCCAGCACCTTCGCGAGTTTCTCGTCGATGTTGGGAAAAATCTACCTGCGTCTCAAGCGGATCTTGCTCAAGAAGTGCATTCTCAGGCACGACGAAAAAGGGGTCTCTTTAATTTTGTGGGTATCATCCAAAGCGCTTTGTTTGGCACGGCAACGGCCGATGATGTAGCTAAATTGGGGGACCGAATGAACGTTGTCGTTCAGGCTGTATCTCAACAGAATCGTGTTATTTCTCAAACCTTTCACGCGATTACTGCTCTAGAATCAAAGGTTAATGCAATCATAGTGGAGTCTAACCAAGTTTCGAGGATTGTTACTAGGTTACAGAAAGCAATCCCGACATTAGAATGGCTCCTTTATTTCACAGAATATTTGCATGCTGCGGAAATTTCAGTTCATAAAATTGTAACCTCTAAAAATGAACTAATAGACAGCATTGTAGATGCCGGGATAGGACGTGTGGACGCGAAGCTTGTGCCTGTGCAGACACTTCTTGAAGCTTTAAAAATAGCCAAGTTGCAGTATCATTTAACTCCTATTTTTAATGACAATGAGGTTCACTATTATTACCCACTGTTGGAGTCAACCCTCACGCACAATGCAATTCTGATCCACATTCCTATGCGAGGGCAACATGAGTTTAATGCATGGCATTTAGAACCCTTCCCCTGGTTTGTGAACGACACACTGTATACCCTAGATAGGCCTAAAGAACTTTTCTTAGTAGATGAAGAATATTCATTGTTATCAATAGAGGATTCTGAGGTACTGTCACGGTGTAAGTCGTCTTATCTACACCTACACGTATGTCCAGCCTACATGTTTGCATTTATTCCTGCTGCAGAGGGAATATGTGAATTGGCAGTCATACAACCAAATGTAGGCACAGTGCTAGCGCAATGCAGTTATAGGCCAGTTAGTCTAAAGACTGTGTTCCACGCTCATCTTCACAATGTGCAGTATTTGTTCTTTCCAAATCTCACTACTGTCATTTTAAAATGCCATGATGGTGTTAAGCAGCTAGTTGTGAAAGGGCATTACAAGGCTCCTGATTACTGTGAAATCACTTGTAGTACATTACGGACCTTGCCTACTCATCAGCATTTTGCTTTAAATCGAAAACTCAAATCTGCTTTAATTCAACTTCCTATAATGAATTTCACTATCAAGGATATTCAAATAGTATCAGAGAAATTAAAAGTTTTAACTTTCTTGAACGAGACACATTTTGCTGATTTGAAAAATAACTTGCCATTTTACCTATCACGGGAATTTGCACTACCAAGTCTTACAATTCCCTCTATTTTGTTAATTCTGGCAATTATGTTCCTGTTCTGTTATTACCGGGCAGTGTCATCCAAATTCAACATTGTTCATAACATACTAACCCGTACGACACTAAAGTCTAGGTCCCCTGTAGTAGCTAATACCCCTACAGTAGTAGAATCCCCAGCTTAGTGTCTACATATCTGTTTATAACATGGTTAGGGTTGTCTAGGATGTACTGTACTCTGTGAGTTATTTAGGCCTGTCGGAGCTCGGCTGGAAGGTGACCGAGCGATGTAATGGGCCTGTAGTGGACGTCTCCCCTACAAACTGTGTAGCTGCACACCACCTGCTACCGTCTTCCCTAGCAACCAAGCGTATCCGCATTCCAATGCCCGCCGTATCCTAGCAACCGAGCCAAAAGGCCGGCGACTTCTCGGGTTTTCCCAACATGACTCATAGCGGCTGCTGGGTATATAAGCTCTGTCTCTCCATTGAGATTCATTCTGCCCATTTTCCTGAACAAGCAACACCTCCTCCAGCAAGCTCCTAGCTGTTACATTTATTCAACCAGGAGGCCAGCAACAGGCAACATCTTCTCTAACGAAGCTCTTGCACATCTACCTCCTTCAACACGCTACTCACCGAACGTCTTCTACTGAGCAGCTCCCCACCACACGGCATCTCCAGCACCAGACTGTCTTCATATAACTTATATATTATACAAGAAAACCACATTAGTGTTTCCTTCCATCCTGAGTGCTAGACAACATTAATATCTCGATACCCCTACAGGCCCCTGTCTCATCAACAGAACATATTATATAAATGGGTCAATACATCCGATATTATATTCAGATTCACCACCCTGTAACTTTCCACTGTCTATGAGTAAGACATGAGTTGTACACGTGAGCGGGCAACTCTCCCAGGAGGGAGTGACCCGTAGTCAGCATATCTGTAAGCCCGCACAGCGAGGCCCTCACTCTTTAGTCGCTCACATCAACTTATATCGTAAGGACGTGACCTAACGTTTATAATACATAAACGCCGTCCCTTTCTCATTCACTCCTATACAGTGGGACTTACGGTCGATCTACACTCAGGAATTATATATATAATCCTTTTATAATAAAACAAGGAACTACCGTTTGGGTTTCGTTACTTAAACCCAAATAATAAATATATGTGAACGGCCTGGTTAATTGCACAAGCAGCCGATTCAATACGAATCCAGGTAAAAAAGTCACAGGTAAAAAAGTCACAGGAAAAAAAGTCGCAGGAAAAAAGTCACAGGAAAAAAAGAAAAGTTAACTATCGAATTCTCACATTTTTTAAGGTTAATATGTCAATCAGTTTCAGTAACCTAACCTAACCTAACCTAACCTAACCTTTATTACCGGCCACCATAAATTAATTGTGACTTTTCCTGTGACTTTTTTCCCAGCCAAAATTGTGACTTTTTTCTGACTTTTTTTCCTGTGACTTTATTACCGGCCACCTTCAAAATACACAGCAGCCGGAAGTAAACCCGTGGGAACTCGCCGGTTTCTTGACTCTGTTGCTAGGGTAGACGTAGCAGCTGGTGATCCCCCCCCCCCCCCCCGGACAGCTCGCTTGGTTGCTAGAATACTGTCGCATTGGAATGCGGATGTAGTTGTAGGGGAGAGTTCCACTACAACAGTACCACTGGTATGCCAACATTCATGGGTTCAATACTTAACCTGTGATAATTATATGTCTGTTAATTATCACCGATCATATACAACAACAATAATACTTTGACCCATATAACTGTAAGGAGTGCCCCAGGGTATAACACTGGTGTCTCCACAACTAATGAAGATATATATATATATATATATATATATATATATATATATATATATATATATATATATATATATATATATATATATATATATATATATATATATATATATATATATATATATATAGTTTTTATTTTTAGTTTTTTTATAAAATCACAAGGGGTCACAGCTCAAGGTCAGAGAAGCTGCAAGTCCGGAAAACTGTGAGGGGTAACTTTTTCGGAGTGAGAGTTGTGAACTCTTGGAACAATCTGCCAGTGTGTGTTGTGACGGCACCGAGTGTGAGCTCTTTCAAGACCAGACGGGATAAGCACTGGAGCAAGTTCAGATACATTCAAGAGCCAGTGCATGCCAACAGTGCGTAACAGAGACGTAACCGATCGCCCAAGCGGCTAACGAGCCGATCAGTGGTGAAGAGGGTAAAAGTAAAGTAAGTAAACTCCTTTGCTGTGTGCCCTCGCGGAGGGCAGTGAGAGATGTCCAGAAATTTTTTATTATTTTTACTATACAGGTACTGTATTTATGTTACCAGAGATTTTCACATGCTAAGTTTTGCTTCCCCAAAATGAGGAAATTATCAGAGATGAACACAAATAGTTATTATCCCTTAAAATATCAGAATATATAAATATGATAGATTAAATACTAAAGAACTGTAGTGACTCGTCCAACATCCAAATAGCTGCCTTGCTACTAACCCAACATCAGAAATAGCTTGACTAGCACTACAAGTGATATTCTCATTACCACAAGAAGATTACTTGTTTATATTTACAGTATTTCGTAGTAGGCAGCTACCAAACAGGGAGGTATTTATCGCCTGGTTAGATATTGGAAGCATAATGTGTTGCCTAATGGTAGACCATGCTGCCATATGGCATCATAAAAAGTTGAGACCAAGTCCCAGGTTGCTAATCTGACTTTCTGCCTCATTTACACACAATTACAGGTTCTTAATTGTTTCGCCTACTTTGACAACACAACATACATATATAATTTCTTGATCTGTTTTTGTTTTTTTTAAATTTTGGATCAGTGATCTGTGGCCGGGTGGGCTAATCCTCGTAAAAAAAATCAGGTCAAGTCAAGTCAGTTTTTATGTCCAATGGCAATAAATACAATAAAAGTAACTACTGTACTGTACATTGCAGCAGCCACACTGAAATAAGAACACTAAAGGTGCTTTATGACTGAAATATACTGATCACTACAATGAATCATGACACTTAAGTTTCTAGCAGATATCACCACACAATCTCTTGTACTCAAGTCAGTACATTCGGTCAGAATCATGGAGTAGACTTTGGTAAGTGAAGGATGGGACACGGAGCATCTGGGAAGAGGGTGTAGCTGCCACCAGCCGACATCTGGCCCGCACAAAAGGGAAACCGGTCCCTGAAACATCAAGACTCTGTAGGACTAGGAAGTAATGATAATTCCAACCTGTCCTCATCTAAAATGAGATTTTTAACTTAATTTGAGATACAGTACTATAACTATATTTATAGTCATTCTGTGATGCTCTACCATACATAAACAGTGGGACTCAACATTTTTGTGTAAATGAGCCACATTACAGTAAATAGGTAATTGTCACATGTGTGATAAGGGCCTCACATTGACCTTAAAGTGAATAAATGCAAAAAATACGGTAAGTAAAGCATTAACTATGTCAAATTCTGAATAATTACACGGGCTTTATTATTGAATAGAAAATTTCAAATTAATTCCACAAAAATTTAACAAAGCCGTTATTTATTGAATTTCATATGTAATTTTCTAATACAGTAGTTTCGAGGGCTGCAGTAAACCTTCCTGTGGGCAACATGTGGCCCTCAGACCATGAGTTGAGCACCCTGTTGTATACAACTGTACAAGGATAAGACAATACTCTGTTCTCTCAGAGATATTAGTACAGTGATCATTCTCTGAGGCAGTTTTATTTAAATAGATTTCCCCCCCCCCTATTAGTAAAACAAAAAGTAATATCTCTGTTAGCCGGAATCGCTCAAACCCCGAACTCTCCAATAGCTGGAAGTGAAATTTATTCAGAATTTTTCTGAAAAATTCCCTAAATTACAGGTTAGGTAACAAATTCCGAGGTTGAAAATATGGAGGATTTAATTAAAAAAAAAAAAAAAGGAAATCTGTAAAAAAAATATATATATATTTCTGGGTCAGGGAGCAAGTATTGATTATGAAATAATGTGCAATTTTCGAAAAAAAAAATCTGAGAAATTGCAAGAAAATCACTCCAAACCTTTGCCCAGGGCCTGGGGACAAGGATTTCCAGAGTTATGAAAGATTGCATCATGTTTAGCCGCATCCTCACATGGTTGGTGTGTGGGTGGGAAGACCAACCACTTGGGTAATGCTGGATTTTTCTGCTCTGGGTCTATTTATAATAACTGTGCAAATGTAAAATACTGTATTTCTTTAAATGTACATACAATACAGCTACTAAAACGGTAAAATAATAGTAATATATAAATAATTCCGAGCTGAGCTAATGAGGCAAAGTGTGTAGTGGATTCCTCCCCTACAAGCACCGAACCTTCTCGAATTCCCCAGCCTACGCCTCCAGCGCCGCCCACGGAGCGGGGGTCAACTATCTACCCACGCCTACCCACGCCTTATAAGGCCTGACACCGCTGTGACCAGTCTTTCTACTCAGTGCCGCCAGCAAGCAACACCTCCTGCGCGCCAGCCGTGTGGCTGCCGCTCCCGCCAGCGACCGTCGCGTCCCTCAAGCCGCGTGCCCTCACTCTGGGCACCCTCACCACCCAGCTCTCTCAACTCAACGCTTATTACCATGCTACCTACCCAGCAACAAGCTACATTGTACATCCAATACAATATGTACACAGTGAGCACATAGTGATTTTTGAGTCTCGAACCAAATATTGCATACCCCTACAAGGGTGAGGTGATGGAGTCAAGTGGTGAGGCAGTGGCGTATTCTTAATGGGAGCAAGGCATTGCATGCCTAGTAGAAAGCAAAATATATCTTTAAATAGTATCTTCAATAATACAGATATAATTTTAGAGTCTTCACAGTTTTCACTTAGGAAAGTCGAGGAAACTCACACCTAGAGTTTTAAACACCCTCTTCCATTGAAGAGGGTCGTCGTGTTTCAACCCAAGTTATAAAAAAAATTAGTCCTGAAGGACACCGCAGTACAGTACTTGACGGGGTGGTGTGGCGGTAAAATTAACTAATTCCAATAAAATTAATTTATAATATTGGAATTAGAAAGCTGGACAAATCACATTGAAATATTACATGATCGTCAGCAGAGGCGGGAAGTATGACTGCGAACAACATTTTTCCCGCCTCTGCTAACGGTCATGTAATATTTCAATGTGATTCTGATCTTTAAAAATGTTGTTTTTGCATAATGTAGTATTACTGATACGTAATTTATCTTAGTATGCCTTATTGTGGTAAAAATATGTATATATTAAATGCATCCTCTGAAAGCGTAAATTTGCTACCAGAGTTTAACAGTTAATTCATGTATAATACTTCTGATACACTTCCTATGTGCTTATGTTTGAAATAACGAATGTATGTATCTTTATATAATTTAGCTGAATATCTTTCTCGTCATAAATGGTCATCCCAACTATTATGAATAAACTCATTTAGAAATACATCATTACTTCAGAACAAAATCGGACAGGTTTGCAACAGCCAATCAACTGTAACTTTTGAGGAGGGGGCGGGGCATCTTTTCTCAGCTGGGAAAAAACGCGCTATAGTTAATTCCTCGTGGAAGCTCAGAAGGAGGTGACCGAGAGATGTATCAGCCCCTTAGTTGTATATAAATGTTGGGCAGTGCATTCAGTTTATATAATCATATCACCCCCTGTAACTTTCCACTGGTGGGTGACATGGTCACATCACGTGATGGGTAAGTTCCTTGAGGAGCGGCCCTAAAATGCAAGGTCAGGTCATAGAAACCGGCTACTCCAAGCACACTCACTCAACCTCTCACACCAACAGGACGTATTTTATAAGAGCTATTTAACATAGCCTCCGTCCTCATTTAACACTTAGCAACAATGATTAAGTTACGGTGATATACACTTGGAACTGAATATAATATATTTTCTTAATAAATACAGAAAAGACAGTTGGGTTGTCGCTACTAAAAACCCTAAAATATTTTTACACGTCCTAGCCCATTAACCCTTCAAGAATCAACAGTTAAGGGCCACCACTGTATATGCGTAAATCACCATTCCCAGAATTCCCGACATGGACAGTGTGTTTGCCAGGGGGACCGGTGGTAGAAGCGGTACCGTTCTTGCCTCGCAAGCGAGATGTCACTAGTTCGATTCCCGGGCCGGTGGAAGTTGTTTGGACTTACTTCCTAGCCCCCATTAGTCCCTGTTCACCTAGCAGTAAAGTAGGTACCTGTTGTAAGTCGAAAGTTGCGAATTCGTATTCAGGTAAAGTTGTTGGAGCTTCCAATAACTTTATGACATAAACCACTGACTCTTCAGGCTTCTACGCCCTTAACTCGTGAGACAAAGGCAAGCATGAACTTAGCATGTTTCCCTGTTGGGCGCTGTAAATGCTTCTGCGCTTCACCTTACACAAGGATGTAGGGGGGTGCCCAATAAATAATAAAAAAAAAAATTGTGTTTGCCCATGTTGAAGCACTGAGATCATGTAAATAATTGGCCATCAAGCAGTTTCTTAACTAAATTCCGTAATTTTTTCCTTGCTCAACCACCAGATTTGCCTTTTATACAATAAAACAAACATGTAAAAATCCTAAGGAAAATCAAAACACCTTTTCCAGAAATATTAAAGTCATAAAACCACAACTTGTGTGGCATAAACTACAATATCCTCCAGTATTAAGCTAAAGCTATGTCAACTGTATAAATAATCACCGAAAGTTTTCTAAGTTAAAGACATAGTTTATGTGGTCATAAAATGCACTAAGTTTAAGATCAACAAGTAGTAGGTAGTAAGCAGCTATCAAACAGGGAGGTACTTCTGCCTGGGAAGATATTTGAAGCATAATGTATTGTCTAATGATGGATTCTGTTGCCATATGGCATCACGAAAATTGTGACCAAGTCCCAGGTTGCTAATCTGACTTTCTGCCTTATTTACACACAATTGCAGGGTTTCAATTGTTTTGCTTACTTTGACAACACAACATTCAAATATCGTTTCTCACTATTGATCTTTTTTTTTTAATTTTTGTATTATTATTATTATTATTATTATTATTATTATTATTATTATTATTATATTTTTGCCCCCAGGCCCTGATGTGGGTCATTGACCTGTGCCCGGGTGAGCTAATCCCGTAAAAAAAAAAATAAAGTCTTAGGTATAAAATCCTTGAGAATTTGGAAAATATAAGTACAGTATTGTCATCGCGTTATCCAAGTCGAATGTGGGCGTTAGGACTAACAACTCTTCGGACAAGCCACAACGGCAAACGGCAAATTTCACAGAGACATTCAAAATCTTGAAAGGAATTGAAAACGTGAACCCTGGCCATTTTTGTGTGTGTGTGTGTGTGTGTGTGTGTGTGTGTGAGATATTGGGCACCACCAACACGAGGGTTCCCGGGCCGGCGGAAGTTGTTTGGACACTTCCTAGTCCCCTTGGTCCCTGTTCACCTAGCAGCGAAGTAGGTACCTGTTGTAAGTCGAAAGTTGCGAATTCGTATTCAGGGACAAGTTGTTGGAGCTTCCAATAACTTGCTTAGACATAAACATTGACTCTTCAGGCTTCTACGCCCTTAACTCATGAGACATAAGGCAAGCATGAACTTAGCATGCTTCCCTGTTGGGCGCTGTAAACGCTTCTGCGCTTCACCTTACACAAGGATGTAGGGGGGTGCCCCCCCCCCCCAAAAAAAAAAGAAAACACGAGGGGAAATAAGTTCAAACTCGCCAAGTTATGCAGGACGAAAATTAGGAAATACTTCTTCCGACAGAGGATGGTAGACCTATGGAACGGTCTACTCTATTAGCTTAAGCTGTGGAATCAAAAACAGTACTGGGCTTCTAAATAGCCATAGACAAAATTATCAAGAACAATAGAGGGATCCTACACGGGCCACTGGCCTCCTTCCCTCAGCATAGCCTTCTCTATTGGGTGGCCAAGAGGTAAAAAAGAAGGGTAGGTAAATTGGGAATGTATGCAACATGTCTGCCCTGAAATATACACAATTAAACTTGCATTAATATAAAGGTGAAACAATGCCACACTAAACCATAAAAATAAAACTGTTCAGAGGCAAGATATTGAAAAAAGAACAAAATGTTTGAATTGGATTAGGTCAGTTACTTCAACTTTGAACAAGTTTGGTGTGGGCATGTGCACTCATTACATTAAATGAGGTGATGTTAGACTAGGTTGTAAAGATAGGTCAGGTTAAATAAGGTTACAACAGGTTAATCAAGTTGGGTGATAATTAGTACCTTCGGGTCACAACATGACAGCTTCCTACTTTAACATGTGTCATCAGAAAACAACAAACATCTACTCACACTAAACCAGTAGACAGCTGTTCAACCTCAAAGGACTCCACATAAAGGGTGGGCTCAGAGAACCTGAAGATGAGGGCGTGCAGGAAACCATGGTCTTTCTCATACTCCACATGGAGGGCATGGAGTGTGCCTAGTGGATGGCTGAAGCCTAGCCATGAAACCCGACCTCCAGCCTCCACAAACGTTGGCCTGTTTTATCATCAACAACAGAAGCAGAAAGTTTAAATATTTCAAAATTAAGATTTAATATTTTTTTTTCTATTAAAATGAGTACAATTCACCGTAACCTAACCTAACCCTACCTAACTTAAACCTAACCTTACTGAACTTTCAGATAACCTATCCTTATCTTTAATTAAGTTTAATTTAATCAAAAATATCAATTATTTTACTTAATTCAACCAAAGTCACAATAACATATCTCTTGATCTATCGCAATATTAGTTTAATAATTTTTTAACATAACACAGGGAAAGATCAGTCAGGTGTCTTTATCAAGACAAGTAATTGAGGCGACCCTTCCTAAACAGCGAAATGTTATCTTTTGAAGTGATGGAGGATGTGATGTAAGAAAAAACTGTGTACCACAAAGTGCAAGTGAGTTATAGCAGGTAGAGATTCTGTGAAGTGAAATCTCAACAGAAAAAACATGGAGTCTTCCAGATGCCCACATAGGCCAATTGAGGGTGTGTGTTGCTAACTTGACATCTTTAACTCCTTTGATGACAGTCAGTTCACAGTCGATATATTCCTTGACCTCTCTAAAGCCTTTGATACTGTCGACCATACCATCCTCCTGTTAAAGCTTGAACATTACGGCATTAGGGGCTTGTCCCACAACTGGTTTACCTCATAATTATCTGTCTAACAGGAAGCATTATGTCTGCTATAATAATCATCAATCTGACTCCTCACCAATTTTGTATGGCGGCCCTCAAGGTTCCATTCTCGGTCCTGTATCTTGCTGTCCACGAATGATATAGTCCACTCCAGCACACTCGTCAAATACAACTTATTTGCAGACGATAGTAATACCTATGGCAGCAACACAGATCTGCATTCCTTGGTGAGAACTATAAACACTGAATTGACTAAAGTGAGGGTAGGTTAGGAGAATGTTAGGTTAGGTAATACTTAATAAACTGACCTTAAACCTCGATAAAACGTCCTACACAATCTTTCACAGAAGGAAAGGTAAATTTGCACTTCCACCTCCCACTCTGTTAGAAAGTCAAAAGTATATTTTTCTAGTGTATTTGTGTGTGTTTAGACCGAATATGGCCTTCATTTCCGTCGGAAATTGACCGGTTTTTTTTCGATTTTTTTTTTCGTGGGACGTTTTTCGAAAAAAATTAATGGCTAAGCGAATAAAAAATACACCAAAACACACTAGAAAAACAAAAACCAAACCTAACTTAACTGACTCACCATATGATGGAATCACCTATTTCTTACCTTATTGGCCTGGTTCTTGTTCGTCGTTGGATTCTGAGATTCTTACCCAACGCCACATATGTTGGTCTTTGCGATATTTACATTCAGTCTTGCACTTAGGACACTTTACTGAGGTTGGGAGAACACCATGCGATCGAAAAAATGCTACAGTTTCTTCGTTTTTTCCCCAAAACTCTCAATGAACTCCATATAATTAAAGTGACACCCATCGCAGGCTTCCATGGTCGGAAATGAAGTTGAATTTCGAAATATGAGACCCAAAATAAAATTCGATTTTGATGGAGCCAAAAATTACGAGAATTAAACCACAAATCATTTTAATTAGTTGCCAAAAATAACGCTTTTGATTGGCCGCGTGACGTGTACGGGAACGCATGCGCGTGATGATTTATGAAGGAGACAGGCAGTGTGGGAAGTGAGGTAGGTGATAATGGCGGAAGATTAATGGAAGAAAATAGAGAAAAATTTGGATATGCTATTGCAGGGGGTATCGAGATATTAATGTTGTCTAGCACTCAGGATGGAAGGAAACCTGTGGGAGGGAGGGACCGCCAGGCAGGCGGAGGAGAAGCGAGGGCCGCCAGGCAGCCGCGGAGGAGGTGTTGCTTGTTCAAGAAGAATGGTCAGAATGAGAGTTGGTGTGAGGAAGCTCAGAGAAGACATGCTCGCTGGCGGGAGCGAGGACCGCCAGGCAGGCGGAGGAGAGGCGAGAGGTCGCCAGGCAGCGGCAGAGGAGGAGGTGTTGCTTGTTCAAGAAGATTGGTCAGACTGAATCTCAAGGAGAGACAGAGCTATATACACCCAGCAGCGGCTATGAGTCATGGTGGGAAACCCGAGAAGTAGCCGGTGACTAGTTCCTGCAGATACGCGGGCATTGGAATGCTGATACGCTTGGTTGCTAGGAAGATGGTAACAGATGGTGGCGTGGCTACGCAGTTAGGCAGTTGTAGGAGACGTCCACTAATACCCTCCCTTCCAGGCGGTGTAAGAGACTTGTTGATTGTAGAGTTGCTTAGCACATGTGAGGAAGACCGGCGGTGCATGCCTAAGGAGACAACGGCGATGGCGTGATGAGCCGATCGCTGAAATACAACTGTCTAGATACACATTATCTGTGGGAGAAGGGAGAAAAAGGGTGTGTGGAGGCGATGGATGTTGTGCTCTCACGACAGGTACAGGATCGTCAGATGCGCCTGCTGGGTGTGTGTGGGCCTGATCAGGAGCAAGGCTGGTCAGCAGAAGCGGGTTAGGCTCGTGACAGCAGCTGGGTCCACGACAGCAGCAGGGTGCAGGACATTAGCAGGGAGTACCTGAGGAGAAAAAGAGGGGTGTGGAGGCGATGGATGTTGTGTGCTTCCTCACGGCAGGTACTGCTGGGCCGGGGTCGGCGTCTGAGGCAGGACGGGTGTGCTGGGGTCGTCAGAATGTGGTGCAGGGGCAGGAAGAGGAGCCGTGTCTGCTTGAAGACTGGGAGCGTGATCAGTGTCTCCTCCATCCTGTGTGAGTGCTATCTCCGGGAGTCACCATTGTAGGAGTATCGAGGTATTAATGTTGCCTAGCACTCAGGATGAAGGAAACTCTAATGTGGTTTTCTTTGTATAATATATAAGTTATATGACAGACAGTCTGGTGCTGGAGGCGTGGTGAGAGGCTGCAAGGTAGAAGACGTTCGGTGAGTAGCTTGTTGAAGGAGGTAGATGTGAGCTGTTAGAGAAGATGTTGCCTGTTGCTGGCCTCCTGGTTGAATGAAATGTTAACAGCGTGGAGCTTGCTGGAGGAGATGTTGTTGTTCAGGAAAATGGGCAGAATGAAAGTTGGTTGGTGAGGAAGCTCAGAGGAGGACATGCTCGCTGAGGGGAGCAAGGACCGCCAGGCAGGAGAGGAGAATCGCAGGCAGCGGCGGAGGAGGAGGTGTTGCTTGTTGTAGAAGAATGGTCAGAGAGACAGAGCTTATATACCCCCAGCAGCCGCCATGAGTCATGTTGGGAAAACCCAGAAAGTCGCCGGTGAATAGTTTCGTTGCTAAGATACGGTAACATCTGGTTGGTTGCTAGGAAGGCGGACATTGGAATGCGATACGCAGTTTGTAGGAGACGTCCACTACACTGCGC